GGACATCACTAACCAAGGGGGTGCAAAATGTGCACTTTTTTCATATTTCCATTTTTTCTGTTGATTATGAAAGATTACCCATGTGTGTAGACTATTGTACTTTTACTGTGATTTATCTTGTATTGGAGCTCCCATACTCGGACTGAGAACCTCAGCCAGGTCAGCATCCTGGAGTGCTTCAGAACCAGTTGCCAAAGCAGGACTGGGGTCTATGGGGACATTTCTCTGGTAAGAAGAGGATATATATATTTTAGTACACTGCTCAAACAAAATAAAGAGAACACAAAAATAACACATCCTAGATCTGAATGAATTAAATATTCTTCTGAAATACTTTGTTCTTTACATAGTTGAATGTGCTGACAACAAAATCACACAGAAATAAAAAAATGGAAATCAAATTTTTCAACCCATGGAGTTCTGGATTTGGAGTCACCAGCGGGTTCGGCCAAACCTTGAAAAAAAAGTGCCAGTCCATAGCATCAATGCCTTCATATGCATTAGGAGTAACCCAGGGCCAACCGCATCAGCATATGGTCTCACAAGGGGTATGAGGATCTCATCTCGGTACCTAATGGCAGTCATGCTACCTCTGGCGAGCACATGGAGGGCTGTGCGGCCCCCCAAAGAAATGCCACCCCACACCATTACTGACCCACTGCCAAACCGGTCACGCTGGAGGATGTTGCAGGCAGCAGAACGTTCTCCATGGCGTCTCCAGACTCTGTAACGTCTGTCACATGTGCTCAGTGTAAACCTGCTTTCATCTGTGAAGTGCACAGGGCACCAGTGGCAAATTTGCCAATCTTAGTGTTATCTGGCAAATGCCAAACGTCCTGCACAGTGTTGGGCTTTAAGCACAACCCCCACCTGTGAACGTCGGGCCCTCATACCACCCTCATGGAGTCTGATTCTGACCATTTGAGCAGACACATGCACATTTATGGCCTGCTGGAGGTCATTTTGCAGGGCTCTGGCAGTGCTCCTCCTGTTACTCCTTGCAGAAAGGCGGAAGTAGCGGTCCTGCTGGTGGGTTGTTGCCCTCCTACGGCCTCCTCCACATCTCCTGATGTACTGGCCTGTCTCCTGGTAGCGCCTCCATGCTCTGGACACTACGCTGACAGACACAGCAAACCTTCTTGCCACAGCTCGCATTGATGTGCCATCCTGGATGAGCTGCACTACCTGAGCCACTTGTGTGGGTTATAGACTCCATTTCATGCTACCACTAGAGTGAAAGCACCACCAGCATTAACAAATGACCAAAACATCAGCCAGGAAGCATAGATACTGAGAAGTGGTCTGTGGTCACCACCTACAGAACCACTCCTTTATTAGGGGTGTCTTGCTAATTGCCTATGATTTAATTTTCACCTGTTGTCAATCCCATTTGCACAACTGCATGTGAAATTGATTGTCACTCAGTGTTGCTTCCTAAATGGACAGTTGGATTTCACAGAAGTGTGATTGACTTGGAGTTACATTGTGTTGTTTAAGTGTTCCCTTTATTTTTTTGAGCAGTGTATTTAGGTTTGTTAAAACAGAGAAGATGGTAAGTTGTATTTTATCTTATTGGCTTGCTCAATGCAAAGGAAAGGTGTTTTTCTACTGCATCTCTGGTTCTGTGTTGAGAAACATGACTTTGTTTTCCATAAGTAACTTTGAAATCCAATGATAAATGCAACCATTCTAATAAGGCAAGTAGTTTTGAAATGTGGCTCTAGGGTTGAAAAGGAACAATAAAAGTCAACAGTATATGTTGCTAGTTGGTATTGCAAATCATAATGGGATGCCATGATTCTTATGTTGGTCTTCAGCCGGTATGACTGGCAATGCCTTTTGCAAGTTTATAGTGAAGTAATGGTTTCATAGGAGACGATCTTGGCTGGTTCTATAATTCTACATAGACAGGTACTCAATGGTAAAAACACAATTTTAGATAATAGCTTTTGATTTTCCATTTAACAAAGAAATTATCAAAATCACATGGTGAGCACTGCCACTAAGAAATGCACTTAAAGGGACACTAAACAAACATCTTAATGTAGTTGTTATGGTGCCAGGAGACCCTTGGATGCACTCTTACCTTAAGGGGTTAAACCGTTCTCGAACCAAATAACCCCAACGTTTGCCTCCAGCACCAATCTGCAGGTACTCCAGATGGCACTGAATGCCAGTTACAAGAAGCCCAGAGTGCTGCAAGGCAGGGGAGCCACTGATTGGCTTAGAGCAGCCAACTGACTGCTCCTTCTTTTTATCAATGGGGAGCTACTAATTGACTTAGAGCATCAAATGACAGCTCTTAACCAATAAGCAGCATCCCTGCTCGGTGACACTTCCTATAACAGATTCAGAAGCCAGATGCCTTCTGCAGATTAGAGCTTCAAGAACAGTTAACCACTTTAGGCAAGAGTACTCACGGAGGCCTCCTGAAACCATAACAACTTAATTTAGATGACGTTATGGTGACCAGTGTGCTTCTATAAAGAGTTTCGCTAGGTAAACAGTGACTAGTGGAGATTAGAGTTGAGCGGACACCTGGATGTTAGGGTCCAGCGGGTTCGGCCAAACCTTGAAAACTTGACCCCAAACCTGAACTTTTGGGCACAAAAAATGCCTCTACAAATGGCCTGGAAAGGGCTAGAGGGCTGCAAAAGGAAGTAAAGAGGGGGTAAGAGTAGGACAAGTGCCCTGCAAACAAATGTGGATACGGAAATCACTTAAAATAACATAAAAATAAAAAATACAGCTGAGCCATAAAATAGCACAAGATGGAATCTTTGATTTTAGCTTTGGATGAATATAAATCAAAATCTAAAGCATGGCTGTCAGGAGGATCACCAGAATTATCCATTAGAGAGAGGGTTGGAGTGCTGGGTATTCTCTTTCATTGTTCAAACTGAGCTCAATTCCTGATGCATGAAGCAAAAGCCTTCACAAGCCTCTGCTATTCTGTACATTGTTTATACCACGTGACCCATAGGTTGAGGAGGCGGTGACCGTGGCGGTGTAGGTGGAAGCGGCGGTGGAGGAGAAGGAGGTAGCCAACACTGTTTTTTATATATTATATTATATATATATATATATATATATATATATATATATATTTTTTTTTTTATTGGGGTAGCCCCCAAAATATTGGGACATATAAAAAAAAAAAACTGTTCCGCAGAGCGACTGACCCGTGCGTGCTGCATCTGAAACTCCACTATTGCATGCTGCTGCTCGTACAGTCTCATGAGGCGGTGAGCGGGAAGGCCGAAGTTACGCAGCAGGGTGAGAATGCCGAAGCCGTGCACAGACGGCCCGCACTTTCTGCAGCAGCTCTGATATATCTGGGTATACACCCTGGCGGTGTAGGTGGAAGCGGCGGTGGAGGAGCAGGAAGCAACAGGAGGCAAAGCTGTGTACCCAAATAAAGATTGTCAAACGTTGTATCCTGGAACTGTGTCCCATCCAGTTACTGGGGAAATGGGTCTGACCTATTCTAATCAAAAGGGATAACCATCGGTTACCCAGATCCTGCTTCAGTTGGTGGCAAGCGGCGGGAACCCATGTCCCTGCCAGCAGACCCATGGACTAAAGTGCTCTAAAGCGACCTACACTGCAGGACTTGTGTGGAGCCAGAGGAATAACGCCTGGTGGGCGTAACAAGGCCAATTTGACTGCTGCGCTCATGGAGGACGACCAGGCACGCAGTGAGGCAACGAACCCCAGCTAGGGGCCGGAGATGAGGAGGAAATGCGCAAGGAAGTGGAACGGCGCCTGGCATATTACCGAGAGCCACCCTCAGAGGACATTGTCAGCAGGACCTTTTTGGAGGTTGCCAATAGACAGAGGGCAACCTCCATGAACCCAGATGAAGGAAGAAGGGAGCAGAGGGCATCGGGAAGCACAACCACCCTGGCCTACAAGCTACCATACAATGCCTTCAAAGACGTCAAGGAAGCAGAAGAAGGCATCGATTACATTTTACAAGACTTTGAGCACTAGTGCCTGCTCCAAGACGTGGACCCCAGCGACTGGGTCACAATCCTGGCCAGCAAACTAGTGGGGAAGGCAGTGGATATTTACCGGGCTGGACCAGAAGAGCAGATCAGAGACTATCCCTTTATTACCCAAATCCTCCTGGCCCTATGCGGTCACCCCCGAGCAATACCGCCGAAAGTTTAAGGAGACCCAGAAAGGGGAGGACTCCCCTGCGGAGTGGGCATGCCGCATCACAAGGGCCACCCAGAACTGGCTCAACTCCCATCAAGCCAAGTTCCCGGAGGAGATCACCCAGCTCGTCATGCTAGATCACTTTTTCAATGTGCTCCCTGTGGAGTGTTGATCATTATTTAATGTGTAGTTTGCAATATATATATGTATTATATGGTATGGTGCATATATATATCTAATATGAATGTACATTTAGCTGTATAACATAGGTGTATGAAATAGTGCAGGCCTTTTTGCTTAGATTTGAAAAAGTTAAATTTTCAATGACATTTCCACAAGGTTAACAGCTAAAAGGTTGAAGTTAAATTAGAACAAACACATGTGTTGTCAGTCAAATGTATACAAAACACTTCACTTAATTTTGAAGCTAACTATAGGCAGAGCCATCTAGGGTATATCCCAAACTTAGATATTCAATACATTACATCTTGCAACAAGTTAGAATACCTTTTTGGGAGTATTACACAGGTGGGGGCTGCTTTATGGAGGACAAAATGGCTATTTAACTGAAGGAGAAAGAGTGTGACGTTGTCATTCATTCACCATTCATTCATTCATCCATCTACTCTTACTCTGCCTGCTGTCACCACACATCTGAAAGGTATACAGGGACATATGCTGTAGCCACTAATACATTTGGTAAGATTAATTATTTACTGACTATTTTTGCATTCTGTAACATTCATTCAATACACTTTTATCTTATATTTATTTGAGTCATTGTTTCATTTATTACAATATTATTACAGTGCCTTTTGGGTCTTCAGACACTGGATTATTTTAGTGATAGTCAAGTTATCATCTAGAATGGTTAAGGAAAACAGTATTTATAAGTAATTTGGGAACGGAAGGGTCTGCTCCGTATACAGCTATAGATTGCATAAAGACACACTAAGCTTAGAATGACCCGGAGTGACCTTTTGTCGGTAAAGGTCCACATCATACCTGAAGCGAGCCATAACTATCAATATTGAAGGATCACCGAAAACCGACACTCCCCAACGACAAGGCGATGACGCATTCGTATGTCAATCCATATCAACTTTCGATGCCATTTACTGCGCCTACCATGGTGACCATGGGTAACGGGGAATCAGGGTTCGATTCCGTACAGGGACCCTGACAAACGGCTACCACATGCAAGGAAGGCAGTAGGCGCGCAAATGACCCACTCCCGACGAGGGGAGGTAGTGACAACAAATAACAATACAGGACTCTTTAGAGGCCCTGTAATTGTAATGAGCCCACTTGAAATCCTTTAACTCTGATCAATTGGAGTGCAAATCTGGTGCAGAGAGACTGACCCGTGCGTGCTGCAGATGAAACTCCACTATCGCCTGCTGCTGCTCGCACAGTCTCTCCAGCATGTGCAAGGTGGAATTCCACCTTGTGAGCACGTCTCATATGAGGCGGTGAGCGGGAAGGCCAAAGTTACGCTGCAGCGCAGACAGGCGAGCAGCAGCAGGGTGAAAACGCTGAAAGTGCGTACAGCCGCAACAGTGAATGTCACATCCTGTTCCAAGTTGCGGATCAGTCTGGTCATGGCTTCTGGTATCCAGTACTCTTTTTACTGAAGCTGCACAAATGCTGGTGCTCAACACCAGGGGGCGTGCGATTACCCTGCACCAGACCCTGCTAATCCATTCCACACTGTGACTCCTAACTTCAACATCAGGCATACTGGATCCCGGTCATCCGACCACCACCCAGACAGTGTCTGGGTCCCGGTCATCGGACTGCGAAACTGCAAATGGCTCGTTAAATCTGTTATGGTTCCTTTTTTCGCTCCATCTGTCACTTGGACAACTGTGGGAATTCTAAAGATAATACATGCCGATGAGCGATAGGGGATGGCCGCTCCGCTTTTGCACCCTGCTCCCTCTTATGCTGTGCTGCTGCCTCTGTGCGACCAGCGCCTCTTCCTTCAAACTGCACACGTCACTTGCATGACCTTGATTCCATGTAGGGTCTGGGACCTCACCATCCTCCACATCATCTTCCACCCACTCCTCAACCCTGCCCTCATTGCCGTTCTGCACACTGCAGAAAGCCACAGCAGTTGGCACCTGTGTTTTTTCAGCATGTAAAGTCTGCAAAAGGACATGTAAAGGACATATGGAAATTGTTTTAGAATTGTATCTAGGCAACAGTTTGACTTGTGAGGGTATTGCCCCCGAATTACAATATTGTTATATTGGTATTTGACGCTTCTATTTGACTCTCCGATATGAAGAGCACGCCCAAAATGTACTATTTAGCAGCAAAACAATTAGAATTTTTACAGCTGCGCTGTAACCACAGTATTTGACGCTTCTATTTGACTCTCAGATATAAAGTGCACCCCAGAAATGTACTTTTTAGTACCCCAAAAATTTTAAGTTTTAAAACTGCAATATAACAGCAGTATTTGACGCTTCTATTTGACTCTTAGATATTAAGTGCACCCCATTAATGTACTAGTTTGCAGAATTCTTTCCTAATCTGTCCCTGAAAGCGACAGCATCCTCTCCCTACACTAATAAGAGCTTGTGTGACATGTGGAGCTACAGCTTATATATAAAGGCTGGGTCACATGCTGCACTGGCCAATCACAGCCATGCAATTAGTAGGCATGGCTGTGATGGGTTCTAAGGGCACACAAGTCAAACGCTTGTTGATTGGCTGCCCTGCAGCCTTTGAAAATGCGCCATTAAATCGCCGAACACCGAACTCCAACCCGAACATACAGTGATATGTCCGTGTTTGGGTCTGGGGTCCAAAAAACTTAATGTTCGGTATGAACCCGAACTTTACAGTCCGGGTTCGCCCAACTCTAGTGGAGAGATGATCATATATTCAAAGCTTATAAGCCGGGGTTTTATGAACTCTACATTGCTACTTCTGTACTTCCTATTTACTTATTAGTTTTGTCAGTTCTTATATTTTGATGGTGCCAATTTAGGGATTTTTGCCAATTGAAAACTTTGATATGATGGTATTCATTGATCCTAATCAGGTCAATGAATTTAATTATAGTATTTTTGCAAAAGTTGCAAAATACTTTTTGGATCACTATCTGAACCTCATCTCAGGACCATGACCAGAAGTCTTGTTTTAAAAACATTTGCCATTTCTCACCAAAACTCAGTCAAACTTGTTTTATCCAATATTTTGAATGAATTTCTTTTGGATTTAATGCCAGCACAAATTCTAGCTGTGGAACCCAATAAATGGGTGGGCAGCTTGAAAAAAAAAATCTTTGATAAATGTGCTTCAGAAGCACATTGATCAGTCCTTTTTAATGAATAACCCTGCTAGTCATTAAAAGCAAATACATAAAAGCTTATGGAAGGGCCAAAAATTGGGTCCCCCTATTTAGTAATATTTTTATACATTATACAGTGTCCATGGGTAGGGCTTGGAAGCCTTCTCCTGCTTCCTATGGTTGGGAGCCAGGGGGACATATGGCCCCCCTCACTTTATTAATATTATACCCCCCACCACCTGGCTTTAAGTGGGGCCATGGTTAGGCACACTATGTTCTCTCAACATCAATATTAAAATTAGTAACCCCACAAAGGGAGTACTCACCTGATACCTACAGGTGGGGGCATGAAGAGGGATCTGTACCCACTCTACATTACTAGTGACTGGGTAGCTATTGTCTCTAGCTTTTTATTACAGTTTGTTTAGTGGCATGCCTCCACTTGTGGCATGGCCAGTTGGGGAAGTGTATATACTCCCTTGTACTAATGTGGGGGTTATATTGACTCCATGGGCTTTTTTTTCCAAACTATTTGGCTGCTGATTGCTAGTGCTGCAATGCACCCATTAGCTGGAACTGAATAACTGAATGGTTTTGATTTTCTCCCTGAGGAAGCAAAGACTATTGTGACTGTCAGAAAGGCCCAAGTGAGAAGAAAAATGTGTCCTAATTGATCAGGATCTGTTTTAAAGTCCCTCCCAGGATGAAATAAAAAAAATATTAAAAAAAAGTTTTGTGTGTTTGAGGCATAAATATTTTACATGTGCTTTTTATTGTCGATACGTATGGTGACCATTATGAACCAACTCTCTGGACCCAAAATGAAAGAAAGCATCTGGTAGTGTAATTTGTATTTAGAAATTTGGCTGTAACACTGTTTTCAGATGTTTCCCTATCCAATAGACTTTGAGGGGTCTGACTTGGTTTTCTTAGAAAAATATAAATTTACATTGACAAATAAGGACATTTTTCCTTTTGAACTTAGACCATTTACATTGTACAATGGTTGTACAAAAGTTGTAAAGTTGTTCATGGTGAGCCTTGTATTTGTCTTGACTTTTTTGTCATATGTAGAGAAGATAAACAAATACAGCAGTTTAAGTGAATAGCATTGTCTAAACAAAAAATAAAACAAAGACAAATTAAAATAAAACAAAGCAAAAAAACTAATATAACACAAATCATACAAGAAACTGGGTAGGTAAAGCTGTGCAAGAGCCATGTTAGGTTCTTGCTTACACTTCACAAGAAATGAAATAGTGAATAAAAAAGTAATTGTCTGGTTATTTTAGGGAGCATTGCAAAGTGAAACTGTAATAGGAATTACCTGTTAAATGTCTGGGAGAAGTGGAACCCTTGAGAATGCTCTACAGGAATACTGTACCTTGTTCAGTGTCGTCGTAGTATGTGGTAATCCCTTGATGTGTGATCTAGTGTATATAGCATTACTGGATAAATGAGGGTGACTTTTGAGAAGGTCCTCCTTTTTTAGAACTACAAGGTTAAAAAAATCCTGGAACAAAAGTAGCATGCATCCCTGATATCCCACTGTAGGATTTTTTTGATAGGCCACCATAAGTTTGTTTTTGTCTTTACTATGCAGGAAGCACATGTTTTGGGTCCTATTCTATGTACTCTCTTGCAGTTAGATATAATGGGCACTCTAAGGAGCATAGTAACCACATTCACATTAGCATATATAAAGATGAGTCATTGATAGTTTATAGAAATCTTTCAAGTATTGTTTCCTACAAGGTTCTTCAAAGTTGATGTCACATTTCAGTTTATACTAAGACAGAATCCTCAGTATTTGAAGATTAAAAACAGACTGCAGTAGACTCAGGGACCTCCTATTTAGTTTGAACATTATAACCCTGTATCAGAAACAGCACCCATAGCTTAATAATACCAAGTCCACCATTTTGGAATTTAGTGGTTATAGCGCTTAGACTTTCCCATTAAAGTTTATGCAGAACTTTATTCAAAAACTTGCTAATGAACAAGTTAAAGTTTGCGATTTTCAAAAAGCAGTTGAACTTCTACTCTATAGGCCAAAAAGTGAGTCCATTCCTAAATGCAATAATGAAAGAAATGTAAACATTCACTATTCAAATAAATGAAACATTCTATATAATTGTCCTATATAATCCACATTATGCGTCACCTAAAAGCTAAAATTGTGTCACAGTCATTTGTCTGACAGAGCTTTTGCCTCAAATTGCTATGTGGAGTTAGATTTCATTTTTATTAATATCTCAACTGCATCTCAGCTCATAAATATGTATTTTTCGTTATCCAGTCACATCACATACCTGCGCTGTTTATAATTCTGTTTCTGAGTGTTGATGATAAAAATACTGTGATAAATAACATAGAAGCTATCAAATGAAAAACCTTCTTGGGAAAAATCTGTGCATAACAGGAATTATTTAGATTTAAGAAGTTTATATTAATTTTTAAAAGGGGGGTTACAGAAAGGAAAAGAGGGAGAGGAGGGGAGGGAAGATGCAAAATAACATATGTACAATAACATTGGGTACATAATCCGAGCACTTAGTTTGAGAGGAACAGGTACATTTTGTAGAACGACAACATTCATGTAGTTAATCGGTAAGGATGTAGGTAGGAAAGATAGGCATTATTAATAAGGAGGTGCCTTGTCCAATCAAGCACTTTCTGTCTCTTTTTTTTTTAAAAAGTACATAGAAAGACAAGTTGGATAATTACTGTCAGTGTTTACATGTAACACAAAATAGAAATTGCCGTTTAAAAACGTTATATCTTTATATCTGTAATGGTAAGTTCAAAACAGCATAAATATACCTTGATGTCGGGGGGGGGGATTGAAGGGGAAGGAAGAAGGGCCAAAGCAGGAAAACAAATGGATAAAGGAAATGAAAAAGTACAACAACAATAAACAAGCTCACACTATGGTATATCTATGGTAGAAGGGTATTAGTGTTCATATTTAGGTGGAAGACACCTTTAGGTGAATCAGCTGTGGGTAATCTGTCCGGGCATGCAGTTGTGCATGTTTGCTTTATGGGTGTGTAGATGGGCATTATATGTAAAGAAAGATGTAGTAGGTT